AGTGTTGCACAGTAAAATCAAATAATCTGTGTCATTTCCACCAGAAATGAAAAAAAAAATAAAAAAATCTGAAAATGAAATAAATTAATAAATGTAAAAAAAAAAAAAAAAAAAAAAAAAAAAAAAAAAAAAAAAAAAAAAAAAAAAAAATAAAAAAAAAAAAAAAAAAACAGATTACAAGACAGGACAAAACAGAAGAATTACTAGAGACCTTAAAAATGCCAGCAAGGTTTTTAAATTGTAATGCCTATTTTGAAGGAATGCTTTTAACTTAAAAAAAAAAGGTCACACCCTTTACACCCCATTTGTTTCTGTGGAATCTTTAAAAGCAACTGGTTAGAAGAGCTCTAGAGGTATAATAGACGCAGAGGAGAAATATAGCTTGTAGCCATGCCATATACAGATTTAAAAACAAATAATAAAACTCTTAACTCACTGTTATCTAGTGAATTTAAGACAGGACAGTATAGATGCTGATCAGACGTCTAGCAGCTGCACTGTGGACCAGCAACAGAGTCCCATTTTAAGCAGGTTTCAGTGAGAGATACAGCTCTGTCAGCATAAAAGTGACAGAAATTGTTGTACAATGTAAAAGAAACAATTCATTTCTCATAGCACAGTGGCACTTTAGTTCACTGTATTCCATATCATATTAGATATTGTGTAGTATATAATATTTACAACAATCAAGTTGAAGAAAAGCTAATAAAGTGAAGTCAGGAAGAAATTTTATTTCAGGTACAATCAACACTGAATGCTAATTTGATAAATGCTGTTTAATGGTTTGGTGTGTGTGTGTGTGTGTTTTAGATCTTTAGATTATTTTTAACAATTTATGTTAAGTGAAAGTTAACACGCTGCATTTGTTGTAATTTAAAGGGTGTCTGAAGTGAAAATGCAGCCTGGATACCATATTACTGCAGAGCTTTGAAGATCTATTTTAATAAATGATTCATTGTTGCGCTCGTGAGAAGGCATTCAGAGAACATTTATATTCATATGAGCCCAACACGTATGATCATTGCATAGAATAGTTCTCATGCTTCATTTACTACCAGCGTGTGTGCAGCTCTTACCCACAGGACTTAAATTAACTTCTTCATACACAAGTGGCTTGAAAAAGCGGTGGAAAACCCCTGCTGCAAATTCCTCTCTTTTATATATCATGCATTTCACAATAATTCGCAAATTTCACTGTGTGAAAAAGCCTCAGGAACCATGTCGTCCACCATCCTGGGAAAGAGAGAGGAAGTTTATTTCTTTTTTTATAAAGAAAGCAATGAGAATGCTAGCAGTGAGAGAGTGAGAGAGAGCAAGAGCACATCAAATATTCTTCATTTTAATGCTAGTTAATTAGGACCATGGGGAGCTGGAGAATAATTAAACTCAGTGAAAGAGTTTACTAATCCTTTGAGAGAACACTAATAGAGCAGCATTCACGTCAAGCGCTCCGGTTTGAATGGCATTAATCTGTTGACTCAAAAGATTATATAAAAGTGGTATCTAATTATAAAGCCCATATTATATTCACCACCAGACTACAATAATAAATAAGATGACAATACATGAAAACACACAGCAGGAGACATTTAGAAGAGCTATCTCACACACAGGGCAACGCTGTGTCACAACTGCAAATTTATAAGTGCCAATGTGCCAATTGGTGTGTAAAGTTAGCCAGTTTGGGTTAGGATGGGGAGTACACTTAGTCCTCATAGCCTCTAGTGAATGACAACAATTCTGATACATTTTATATGAATGCATTCATAATTAAAGCTATCAGTGTTAACTCTCCTTTCTAGGGGTATAATACCATTCCACTATTTGTATCTGTTTAGTGCTCCAAATATCTGTATCTGGATTTATGCTGAATTTGACTAAAGGTAAAGGTCATTTCTGACCTAGGAAGTTTAATTTTTAGAAATGATTATAGAATAAGTTCCAACTAGAAAAAACAAAGAAAACACCCCCTCAATTTAGAATTCCTACTTGGGATATTGGCATGGTCTCTTCTACTCTGAGTTCAGCAAGTGATGGAAAAAATCAACATCAGCAGTAGACACAGTAGCACTTCTTACCTTTAAATGAAGTATGCTGTATATTATCCTGTCTCCTCTGCACATGCTTTGCAGGAATCGACAGATAGATAATCACTGAGGTCTGGAAGGCTTTAAATGAAGATAAGTGCTGAAGTAAAGTTTGGTGTTCTTCATTTGTATATCTTGAGCAACATGAGCTTCCAGTGTTTTATATCTCCTGAAAATTGAAACGACAAATGTCGTAAGTAAGTATTTAGACAATTTTGTTTTTGTTATTTAATATACTTCCACTGCTTATGAATACATACTTTTATAGATTTAAACAAAGAAACTTTTTTAATCAAATATCTTTTTTATGCTCATGAATACATTCTTTTATCATAAGTTTCAGATACCACAAATTACCAACATTGTACTCTGTTACAAAGCTGTTGTTGGCAATTACAGCTTTGAGATGTCTACAGTAAAAAGTAATTAGGGATAAGAAGGATAACGTGCCTCCTTTTCATACTGTATCTGTATTTGTATAATGTATTCCATTTGGATTTTAAAGCAGCTTTTTTGAAAAGTTCCATTTAACAGGGAGCATTTAAAATGTTTAAACACTTCAGGGTCAAAATCTGACACATCCGGAACAGGAGATATTGGGAATCACACACTATTCCAGACAAGTCGCAGATCAGCAGAGAAATAGCATGTACACTCACTGCGCCCTTTATTAGGAGTACTATGCTAATACTGTATATGGCCTTAATTCTTTGTGGCATAGATTCCATAAGAATTTTGGAAACATTCCTTTGAGATTCAGGTTCTGGTTCACATGATTGCATCATGCAATTCCTGCAGATTTTTCAGGTGCGAATCTCCTGTTCTACCACATCCCAAAGATGTTCTATTGGATTTGGATTCACTGACTGGGAAGGCCACTGAAGAACACTGAACTGATTGCCATGTTCATGACACCAGTTTGAGACGACTTTTGCTTTGTGACATGGTGCATTATCATGCTGGAAGTAACCAGTAGAAGATGGGTAAACTGTGGCCATGAAGGGATACAACAATACTCAAATAGGCTGTGGCATTCAAATGATCATTGATTGGCATTAATGGGCCCAAAGTGTGCCAAGAAATGATTCCCCACACCATTACACCACCTCCATCAGCCTAGAATGTTGACACAAGGCAGGTTGGGTCTATGGATTCATGCTGTTGGTGCCAAATTCTGACCCTACCATCTGTATGCCTCAGCAGAAATTGAGATTCATCAGACCAGGCTAGATATTTCCAATCTTCAACTGTCCAGTTTTGGTGAGCCTGGGCCCACTGCAGCCCCAGCTTTCTGTTCTTGGTTCACAGAAGTGGAACCCGATGTGGTCTTCTGTAGCCCATCCGCCTCAAGGTTCAATGTGTTGTGCATTCTGAGATGCTGTTCTGCTCACCACAATTGTACAGAGTGGTTATCTGAGTTACTGTAGCCATTCTGTCAGCTTGAACCAGTCTGGCCATTCTCCATTGACCTCTCTCATCAACAAGGCATTTCAGTCCACAGAACTGCCGCTCATTGGATGTTTTTTTTCTTTATTGCACCATTCTGAGTAAACTCTATAGACTGTTGTGTATGAAAATCCAAGGGAATCAGCAGTTATAGAAATACTCAAACCAACCCATCCGGCACCAACAATCATGCTACAGCCAAAATCACTGAGATCACATCTTTTCCCCATTGCTTTCCACATGCTGGATGTGAACATTACCCAAAGATGTTGGCCCATATCTGCAAGATTTTATGCATTGCACTGCTGCCAGATGATTGGATGATTAGATAATTGCATGAATGAGTAGGTGTACAGGTGTTCCTAATAAAGTGCTCTGTGAATGTACATGTGTATACTGTATATGTGTATACACGGACATGTTTTGTTTCCCCCTTTAAGTACCCCAACTAGTTTTGCTTTCACCTTATAAGGTTCAAAAATACCAAAAAGCACAAAGCTGGAGTGTGTAATTCCAGAAGCTGTTGTTTGTGGCCACTGAGCGGTTACCAAAGTGCTAAGTGGAGAATGATAGCATTTCACAATTGTGTGTGAATGAGGAGGACAAAGTGCTCTCTCAGGACTAGAGGCTTTCACCATGGAGTCAACACCTTCTAAAAACAACTCCATTGCCCCTTTCACTGACTGATACTAGATTTACTTCTGCCGCATGGTTTTATCTAGTTGTTTTACCCTAGAGCAAATCAGTTAAATGGATAACGAAGGATAAATTGCAGAAGCTGAACCAAATAAAATATAGAATCTTTTTTAAGAAAACCAAGAAAAAAACAAGAAAAACAAAGAAATAATAAAACAAAACAAAAAAACTATTGCTTTCTCCTGATGGATTTTTAAATGAGCCTTTTTTTGGTGTGTGACTTCTAAACTTTTTTTTCCACTTTGCTATGTTTACCTCTGCCAGTAGGAAGCAACAAAAGAGACCAGAGAGAATCCACAAAACAGATACACATAGTTCTCTTCTTTTGGTTGGGCACAGAGATTTGCTTATTGAAAACATTTCAACTATAGATGACCTTATGACCTTACTATGACTACTTGGTTTGGCTACAACAATGTAGGAGTGGGCAGAACAAAAACAACCTTAATCTGAAAGGACATAGGAATGTGAAAAAGGAATTTGCTCGATCTGGAAAAATGCAAAATAATATGGGCTCTCCTTGTCCTTATCTTCATTTCTGATCACATGGTCTCAGCTGTCCTTGTTGCTAATATACTGTAATCTCAAAATATTGCCTTTGCAAGATCAATGACAGTCTTGTTGTTCAGGGGGCTGCTCCCAGTTAGGAGTCGCTACAGTGGATCATTGGTCGGCAGATTTATGGCAGATGACCTTCCTGATTCAACCCAGGACCCATTTTATCCAGGCTTGGGACCGGCACTGAGAGCACACTCCCAGTGGCTGGGTTAGTTCCCTGCCCGGGAATTGAACCCGGGTGGCAGTGGTGAGACTGCGGGATCCTTAGCCGCTAGACCAGCAGGGACCTCAATGACAGTAATTGTAACGTTAGAAATATAGTTTTCAAAATTATTTACAAAAAAAAAAACAACCTGTTGTGATTGCATAAGTACTCAATCTACATCACACTACATCTCTACATCAATTTACATCTACTCTGCATCACACTATTAATTTCTAATTACAATTTTAACTTAACAAAAGGGGATAATTTATGAGACTGATTATCTAATAAGAACGATTTATTAAATAATTAATTAAATTTACACTGTAGCACTTGCATTGTAATACCTACATGGAATGTACCTTGCATTTCCTGTGCTTCCTGTATAGACCTATTTCCACTACCCCACCTGTGTGCCACGTGATCTCAGTATAAATACAAATGTTCCTGGATGGCCCCAGAGCCAAGCAGCTATCAAAACAAATCTGGGACAAAGTTTTGGAAAAGTATCAATGAGGGTTTGGTTATAAAACAGAAAATGAAAAGAATATGGCACAAACAAGACTCTACCTAGAGGAAGCTGTTCACCAAATTTCACTGACTGGGCATGGTGGGCATTAGTCAGAGAAGCAATGAGATTCAAGACATTAAGTCCATTTCATTTCCAGCTTGTAACGCTACAAAATGTGGAAAGTTCAATGGGGATGAATACAAGGCACTGTATCAGCCTACTTCAGAATATTAACCAGAACAGTGGCTGATTAGTACGCACACTTTTTTTCCACACTTTCTTTTGAGGAATTTTCAGAAATAAAGAGGACAGACACCATTCATTAGGGATTAACTGAGTGAATTGGCTTCCAAATATCCTTCAGTGTCATACATTTTCCCTCGTTTTCTTGTAAAAAGACCCGAGTGCTCTCTGCAACAGGAATTACGAACACCGCTCTACATTGGTTTCGGAAATTAATGTTTGATGAAATATTGCTAAAGTGCTCCTTGACTTTGGAGGAATAAATGAGTTTGATTTATTTTGTACCCTGAGGTGATTCTTCTCTCCTCATTTTGAGGTCAGTTTATGAATATTTAATATGCGAAATACAAGTCCGCACTTTAAATGAGATTTCACTTATAAGTGTCTTTGCATGTGTATTTGCATCACTTGGCTGACATTTATAAAACAGTCACATTTACATGTATAACCATGTGATGGGAAAAATGGAACAAAACTGAAGCAAATTGGAGGACAAAAGGGACAGCTTTACATGTCATCCATTTATAACACATGATGCCCTTTGGCTGTTTACTCAATAAGCCAGGATCGTATTAGCTAGCCAGGTAGTTACTACTGGTGTAATGATACATATCATACCATTTCATTCGACACGAGACTCTTGATTCAATACATCTGCATCTTAAAAAATACATTCAACAGACTGCATAACAAAGTAGGCTATTCATCATAAAATAGTGCTTATATTACATGAGGTGAAATAAATATTTAAGCTTAATGAAGCCCACACACCCTCCTCTGAAAAAGTAACTTCCTCTTTATCTTGAATCAGGAGAGGCTATGGGGGTTAAAAACATACTTCTCCTAATCATGCTATTTTCACAAGACAGTATGCTAGCATATTAGCGTACTAGCAGATTAGTGTATTAGATAAAAAAGGAAAGGAAAGAACTGGATGATTGCCCCAAATCATTAAGATCTGGTGTAAAGGAACACTTTACTTCCTAGTAAGTTATGACACTGACGGCCAGTGAGTGGTGGAACAAAACTTTACACAGTGTGCTGTATCCACCACATACAGTCAGGTCCATAAATATTGGGACAGTGACACAGTTTTGGTAATTTTGCCTCTGTACACCACCACAGTGGATTTGAAATGAAGCAGTCGAGATGTGACTGAAGCGTAGACTTTCAGCTTTAATTCAAGGGGTTTAACAAAAATATTGCATTAACCGTTTAGGAATTACAGCCATTTTTTACAGAGTTCCTCCA